AGAGAGAGAGAGAGAGAGAGAGAGAGAGAGAGAGAGAGAGAGAGAGAGAGAGAGAGGGAGAGAGATGCCATTTAGGTAAATCTTAGTTTAAACTAAATAAAAGAGGGAAGCCACAGTCTATTGTTTAGCTCTGTAGTGGGTTTTCTCTTTTAGAAGCAGGGACGTTTTGCGTAAAACTGCACCAAGTCATGAATCTGTCCGCATCACCACATTTGAAACCTCACTTTCAAATCCCGACAGGGGAAATTTTAGGCTCTTTTTTTCCCCCATTTTGCCAACTAATGGTCATAATTTATGATGTGCGGATCAACATGTGCTCATTGGGCAACAGCTTCCTGAGTGCCTAACGAGCATCAAGTCGAACACTTCCGGACATTAATTGGACCATGCCAGCCATGGTAAAGTGCTTATAGAGGGGGCTTTACATAGTTAGTATGTGAATAACTCCTTATTAAATGCAGGGAGGGGAAAAAAAAAGAACATCAGAAGCTGAGGCTCTGCTTCACTCGCTGTGTTTTTAATCATGACCGATAATGTAGGAATTTTACAGGTCCAGTAGAACTGAAACTGAGTTATGTTGTGACGGTAGATGATGTATTTTGGAGAAGAAAGCGAAAGAGAAACTTCAGAAAATAGGAAGTGAGTGGGCCCGTGGAGCTGCAGGTCACTTTAGGCCTAAAAAAACACAAAACTAATTAGTAAGAGGTAATAATTCCCATTTTAAAATGTAATAATAATAATAATAATAATAATAATAATATATGCAACAATTAATATTTTAACAATTGTAATATTTATAAATAATGATAATAATAATACAAATGGACACTCTTCATTAATGCAAACAGTTTATGAAACTCCTATACTCTTTATTCTTGATCTTAGTTTATTTACTTATTTTTGTTTAAGATGTTTCTTTTACAAAAATAAAAAATAAAAATAAATTAAAAAAAAGAAAGAAATGGCTGAAACTGTGTGCCAAAAGGCTTCCTCCCCTTCGTGCGTGAAAAGCCGTGTGTGTCATTTGCCTCACGGGCAGCAATAAAACACTAAAACTCGGGGGGAAAGATTGACCTTTCTGATTCTGCACACTGACACAAACCTCTGCTGCATTCCACTCCACTCTGCTCCACACATTGGGCTCCACTGTTCAGCCCCTCTTATTTACAGCCCCAGCTTTATGGAGCTGCGTGTTTTTTCCTGTTTGTGTGTGAGAGCAACAAGAAGAATAAAAAAAATAAATATATGAAAAACAGGGTCTGGAAAAACAATTCATTTGAAGCGTTAATGGAATAATTATTTCTAAATGTTTTACTATTTTTTCCATATTTTAAGAAGTTTTTTTTGTAACTAAAACTAAATTATTTGCCTAATAAAAGCAAATGATTTTGTAATTCAACAACACATCAAGTTTCACTTATGGTGAGCATAAAAAAATAAATAAAGGTACTTTAATTTATAAGATAATTTTTGACATTGCATTTGTATTGTTTGAGTTTAGTTTTAAGGTTGCTGGTTTGAAAGTAAATTTACTTTAACGACCGTCAAAAGTAAACTTTAATTCCCAAAGTTATTTTCACAGACAAATAAGGAAAATAAATTATTATTTGCAGCTCGTCTTCGTCTTACACTGCCATCAACTGATCCGACAGTTCATATCAAAGCAAAGTGAAGAAAAAAAAACACAATATTGAGCCATTAGAAGCTCTAAGTTTTGGTTGTTTTTGTCTGGATTCTGTGCGCTGCGGATGTCACAAATGGGCACGAAGAGGTGAAGGAAGGGAAACTTTTATTGCACCACCGACTTCCTCCTCTTTGTTCTTGTCTTTTTTATGGGTCTTTTTTTTTCACGATCCCCAACAAGAGACCAAACACTGTCAGCTGCACGTTTAGGCAGCACGTATTCATCCTTTTGAAGGAATCAATGCGCTGAACCAATGGGCGCTGCTGCCAGAGCCGCGGCGACTTCCAGCGGACATTTTCAGTCGCACTATTGATTATTTTATTGATATCTTCCATGGCTTGTTGCATAAAGGGGAGTTAATGTGACTTGTCGTTTCAAGTGCATGCATGAAGTTTTATTTTCCCTTTAAGTTTAAAAGCCTTTAAATTGAGAGAGGATTGGGGGAAATGGAAGATTAAAAACATGCTTTCCGTTTATTTTGAAAAAAAAAAAAAAACCGAGTGTTCTATAATGTTGTGTTATTTATATATTTTAAATGTATTTAACTCAGTCCATAGTCTCGAGAGGACTAAAAGGTTTCTTAGAATCGCAAAAACACCTTTGAAGTAATTTGCAACAGCCATAATCTGCTGCAGAGATAATTATCGGTTCCTGTTTCCTCTGTGTGTGTCAGAGGAATGTCGAGGTAAGATTAGAACAATGCAAAAAGGCAGGAACACGTGTATCAGGGTTATGGTGCATTGTGGTTCACTTTTTTCCTGTGAAAAAAATATATTTTTAATTTGCTCCTTTCTGTTGCAAGTTGAGAACACCGTRAGAGACGCTTTACGCGCGCTGCTGGACTGTTGGAGGAATGTATCTGCTCAACTCGAATTTTATTATTATTGTTATTATTATTTAACCGGTGGAAGTAGTTCATGATCAGTTGCGTTACCTGCATGAGACCCCCCCTTCCCCCCCTCTTGCTTTCCCTCCCTTCGCTGTGCAGTGCCTTTATTCCTGAAGCTGGCTGAGTTGCAGGGATTTGCTGCAGAGACAGTTGTTGGTGAGCTGGGGAACGTCACTTGTTTTATTGCCCTCACAGAAAGAGAGACCATAAACGCATTCTTACCAGCACTACACACATACACACACACACTCCAACCTCCCCCCCCGGCAGTTCACAAAGCATGGAAAGAGCTCACATGCATGCCAGATAATTCAAACATAAAGGAAACATTAACAGTTTGTTGCGAGATCATTGATCTGTCTGTAATTAATGCTTAATATTTGTGTTGATCTTCACAGAGAGGAGAAATGAAAGCCGCTGTTTTTTTTAACTGCGCGCACGCACACACATACATACACACACATAAACACACACCAAACAACGTCAACAACTTCAAAGTTAAATATTCTATATTTACACCTCTCTGCGCGCAAGTGTTATTGTTTTTCCATAAGCGCACTTAATTTGTTCATATTTCCTGTTTTCCTCACTCTTATTTCCTTTCCTCTCCTCTCCCCCTGAACACGACATGCTCTTAAACTTCACACCAACAAAGACAAAACCAAACAAATAAAAAAGAAACTTCCTATCCAGTCGAGCTGGATACAGTGTACAACTCTGTGTTGTGTTTATCGGCATTTAGCACTGCTGCTCAAGCGCTGAGCTAAAAGCTACAGTTTCCCCTCAACTCCGGGCGTCTCAATTGGTCGAGAATGGTCAGCTGACATTGTCATATTGTCTCTCACCGAGCCAAGCCTCGGCTATAACACTCGGGGTTTTTTGCGTCTTAACCGGAGATTGGAAATTAATAATATTCAATCCTCAAAGTGGCCCCGCGTCCACTTGGAGAGGCAAGGAAAAGTCAAGGAAAAGAAAAAAAAAAGAGAGAAGATCCTGGAGAAAGGTGTGGTTGTTTGACACAGGCGGGAGGGAGATTTACAGAGAAGGAGATTGGAAGAAGAAGAAGGGAAAAAAAAGAGACCGATAAAGAAGTGGGGAGAGTTGGACTGAGGGTTACAAGCAAGGTATGAATTCTTATTTCGCAAACCCGTCGCTCTCCTGCCATTTATCCGGTGGTCAAGAGGTTCTGCCCAACGTCCCCCTGAACTCCACCACCTATGACACAGTCAGGCATTTTTCGTCGTACGGCGCCGCGGTGACCCAGAATCGGATATATGCACCTTTCTACTCCCCTCAGGAGAACGTGGTTTTTGGCTCCGGCAGGGCGCAGTATGAGTACGGATCAAACGTGTTCCTCCAGGACAAGGACGTGCTGCCCAGCTGCAGGCAAACAAACATGGGACTCAACTCACAGAGCCACATTGCTCAAGAGTACAGCCTGGATCAGGGGCGAGCAGGAGCCCAGGAGCAGAAAAGCAACATCCCGATCTACCCGTGGATGCAGCGCATGAACTCACACAGCGGTGAGTTTTACTACGACAAATAAATTAGGGAAATGGGCCAGTTTTACGATATGTCTTACCAAGAGAGTAAGTTACTTTTTATGGCCCCCCATAAAACATTACTGTATCTGCTCGACTTGTAGATGGGCCTTAGCATGTGCAAACAAACAGCTTTCATTTTAACAGTGATGTAGTGGCCATAATCGGCAACAGGAGACCGGGACAATGAAATAAAGATGCTTTCATAATTTTGTTTTAATAAAGCAAATATGTCCTTGGAGATGAATTGAATTCGAGCAGCTAAAATGTAGTTATATTTCCTCTGCAGAATAAAGTTTTTTTTTCCTTTTTTTCTAAATATGTCAGAATTTATGAGCAACACTTTCTGTGTGATTAAAGGAAGTATGTTTGCTTTCTATTCCAGCAGGAGTCGGCTACGGGACGGACAGACGCAGGGGACGTCAGATCTACTCTCGTTATCAGACCCTGGAGCTGGAGAAGGAGTTCCACTTTAACCGCTACCTGACCAGGCGCAGACGCATCGAGATCGCCAACGCGCTCTGTCTAACGGAGCGCCAGATCAAAATCTGGTTCCAGAACCGACGCATGAAGTGGAAGAAAGAGAGCAACCTGACCTCCACGGTGACTGGCAGTGAACAGACAGGAGCCTCTCAGGAGGAGGAACGGGATGGCGCAGCAGAAGAGGAGAAGAATGAAGACAAAAAGAAGGAATAATGAAAAATAAAATAAAATAAAAAAAACAGGAAACGAGAGGGAAAAGAATAAAAAAATCACCTCACGAGCATAAAAAAACCCAACACAACTACCTAAAAATGGACTTGAGAGCGACTTCACTGCATGATGGTTACCCTCGCTGCTCTTTATTCCATGTTAAGAGAGTGGAGAATTATTTCAGCCCTGTGACATTTTGCAGCTTTGAGCTCTTTATTCTTTTGTGTTGTTGTTATTGTTAATATTATTGTTATTATCATCATTACGATGTCTCACATGTATTTGTGACAAATAATAATGATAAAAAAAGAAGTATTATTTTCTTGGTTAACTCACATGCCAAGAAATGTGTGTATTTACCCAATTCGTCACTGTGAACTCTTTGATCACCTCACCAAACACAGTGTTGGTTTAGCTCATTATTGTACATGCACATTCCACGGCACTGTATGAGGAAAGGAGCCGGCGGACACTTGGAAACTAGTACTTGAATAAATCCGCAGACAAATGTGGCCCTGCAGTGTCCAGTCCACTTACAAATATACAAATTAATAAACAGCTAAAACGACTGTATATAATAAAAGCAACAGTATATATTACGCAAATCCTGCGCATTTAGCCGCTTTGTTTGAGGCGCTGCGTAAAGGGAAAAAAAATGCGCCTTTGCCTTCCTCCCCYTCCATGTTTTGATTTTTTGACACAGCTTTGTTTTTTTTTTTACTTGTGAGATACATTTGTACACTTTTCACTTTTGTTTGAGAGTCATTAATGTCATGTTTTGTCATATGTGTATCATGAAATAAAAATCTTTGTCCAACTTTCATCCTTTTCTGGTTTTTGGCGGAACAGCAAATTACGCATCCAAACAACGTAAAAATGAGAGCTCTTTGAAGTTTCACAAAAAGCTTTTATGGCGTCAAATGGTGATAAATACGCTGGAGGATAATTATTTTAAGCAACTGGGACTTCTTTGATCCCAACTTTTAAAATCTAGCTGGCATTAGAGTAAAGTTTGAATTAGTTTTTTTTGTTTAATTTACAGACCATAAATTATTCTAGCTCTTCGTGTTTTATATTGTAAGGCTTTAAGAGTAAACATACAACTATTCTAATATTCTGTGTTATTATTAAGAACCGGTGGTGTGCGGTCAAAAATGGACTCGAAGCGCGTCCCTGGCACAAGGTTCTGCTCGTCCTGCTCCATTCCAGACACCAGATGACGCTCTTGTCTCACTGTCCTGCAGTTTTTTTTGCGCCAAAGATCCCTGGCAGGTCCCCAACAACCATCAGCTCAAAGTTTACCGGACACGTTTCTCCTATTCATCAATATCCCCATTGAGTATCAAGCCAATTTATGACTGGCCAACATGTGCACGTGATCGCACACAAATACCCCATATTTGGGCAACGCGCGCCGGATCAAGAATAAGAAAGAAAGAAAAAAAAAAGATACCAAAGCCTACTCCACCTATAAATCCTGGATTATTTTTTTAGAACAGACAGCTGTGAATTTTCCTAAAGCGGCTGCAAAGAAAAGCAATGATCAACAAAAACAAGGAAATAACCACGAGACCCATCCCGCAGCTCTGTCGAGTTTAGAAAGAAAAAAAAGTCTCGGCTTGTAGATTTTCTCTTTTTTTTAATGAGCTCTTATGTTGAAAGCTCCACTCTCAGGCAAACAAACGAGACAACTTCTCCTAACAGCATGTTTACTTTCGATCTGTCTGGGCGCAGGTCCAGCCACTATGAGGGTGTTAATGTGAACGGGATTTACTCCTGCCCCGTCCCCTCGACCTCTGTGGAACGGGAGGAGATGAAAAGTAGCCTGCGTGGCGGCGCGGACACTCCTCTCCCCTCCGGACCCCAGATAACCATGGTGTCCGGCGGCTCGTCCGGGGACGCGGGCGGGTTGAGCTACGGCTGCGGCGCGCTGGTGGGACGCGGGGCGCACAGGGAGCCGGAGAGGAGCGCAAAACGCGGCGGCGACAAGAGCCACGAGAGCGACAAAAACGCGGGCAACGCGCAAACGGCGAGAAGGAACGCAAACCAGCGCCAGGACGGTGAGCAGCGGCCGCAGATTTATCCGTGGATGACAAAACTGCACATGAGTCACGGTAAAGTTTGCCCGTTTCTATTTTCTTYCTCCCACTCTCACAGTGCGAATAAGACGCTTTCCCCTTATTCACTCTTAACGCAGTAACACTTCGTTTCGCTCGTTCCAGTGTCCCTCTTGAGTTTTATAGGCCAAAAGCAGGAAATAATAAAAACTCGCGGCCATAAATTTTATGACAAAGGCATCTATTGCTCGTAAACCTGCTCTGTTACGGTGAAGAGGTGATCTGTGCTGTGATTTATGGTGGTATAATTGGATAAGAGAACAAAACTAAGATAAAACTATGGACTAATATTAGGAATTCTGCTCATAGTGGTAGTTATTTTTCTTGCTTCATTTGCAAACTGCACCTTTTACACGAGCAGGCTCTCCGAGAAGAAAAAAGAGAAGCTTTTAGCCTTTAATTGAACTCTGGGACACACCAATGCCCTGACCCAATCATGAACTTTTCACCCCGAAAAGATTTGAATAGGCATGCTCCTTCTTCATGCCTTCAAACCACAAGCTGAGTATTTAAAACTGTAGCAAAAAAGAAAGAGAGAGAGAGAGGGAAAAGAAAAAGACAAGAAAAAAGCTGTAAAACTTGTTTTGTGTTCTTACATTTTGCAAATATGCAGAAGCAGCCAGCAGGAATGCTGAAATAATCTACTTTCAGCAGCACAGGCCCCACTTGTTTTACTTAGCAAGTCTGTCCTCGTCTATAAATAAAAAATAGCTGGGAACCATCAGTTTATATGTTTTTTTAATGTTATTTTGGCTAAATTTGTCTCTTTTTACTGTCACAATTTTAACTGCTGCGAAGTTTTATCAAACCAAGACTATTAATTCCAAGGAGGCCTATATTTCAATAAGCATCTCATTTTACATTTTAAAGTACACAGAGCTCATCAGTATTTTTGGTTTTGTGTGTAAACAACGCATATAGCTAAATTCACATATTGTAATTGGATTTAAACAATTAACTTCTTACGATTATTGCAACATTATTATTTTAATTAGCAAATGTTCAGGTTAAATACTTAATATTTAAGTTAAATAGGCCTCGCTGAGTAAACAAGTGTTTTTTTTTTCATGTTTGCTTTAGAATTTTTGAACGTTTTATTTGATGCAACCATWCATTTAGCTCATTAGTCGTATTTGATTTGATGCTTGAACATTTCCTGATTATTTTGATGCTGCTTCAGAATCGGAGGGTAAGCGCTCCAGGACCAGTTACACCCGCTACCAGACTCTGGAGCTGGAGAAAGAGTTTCACTTCAACCGCTACCTGAGCCGCCGCAGGCGCGTAGAGATCGCCAACACGCTGTGTCTAAACGAGAGGCAGATCAAAATCTGGTTCCAGAACAGGCGGATGAAGTGGAAGAAGGACTCAAAGATCAAAGTGAAGGAGTAAAATAAGAAAAAAAAAAAAGAAGTGGGTACCCTGTGAGCAGCAGCCCCCCCCCCTCTTTTCCCCCCACAAAATGCACTGCGCAGAGCCGTGGAGTGCCGCCGCCTGACCTTCGGATGAACCGCTGGGAGCAATGACATCATGACACCGCTCTGTGCGCTTCATCACCAATTATGTGTCACTTGCTGCAGTTTGGGACCTAATGTATTGAATATCACTCACTTTGATCAATCGGTTTACATTTTTAAATTAATTTGCTGCTCATGCGATGATAACCCCWCTTTAGTGCGCAAGGAAAAGGGGGGTGGGGGTGGGGGTCAGGCTGAAGATCTGAAAAGCTGGATAACGTTATTAATATGTGGTAGTGAGGAAAACTTCTGGGCCATCCTTTGACCTGTTTAAAACGAAACTGTAAGTTCTGTGACTCAATTGAAATGAAATATTCGCCCATTTTATTTGATTATTTTTGTTCAAAGCAGTGTGTGCGTTCAGAGTGGATCTGTAGGCGTCATCCATGTTGTCTGTCTTGTGACTCTGGATCATCCTGTTTAATTCAGTGACTGTGTGTGTGTGTGTGTGTGTGTGTGTGTGTG